TTCTATTCTATTCTATTCTATTCTATTCTATTCTATTCTATTCTATTCTATTCTATTCTATTCTATCCTATCCTATTCCCGCCTTTCACTTCACCCCGCTCCCAGCCCCGCCATCTCCCTTTTCCATTCACATTCCCCTCGCCTAAGTTGGCGCCAGCATCGGAGGCTTGCCTCTGTGTTTACGTCCTGCAGACTGAGGACAATATTTCAGTTTGGAGCCGAGCCACGGGGATCCGCTCGACGGGCCCTCCCCTCCTCCTCCCCCTCCTCGCCCGCCCCTGGGAATAATCACCCGCGCCCCCTGCCTCTCGGCTCCCGCTTTCAAACGGGGAGGACGGGAGGGCGATCGTGCCAAATCGGCGGAACCGCCTCGCCGCCCGCCGCGCCTCGCCCCGCCGCAATGAAAGGAGTCAATTAGCAGACACCTCGGTGGGAGCTCAATTGCCGGAGCGGGAGAGCCGACCCTCGTCTCCCCGCCGAGGCAGCGTTGGCGGTGGGGGTGAGGTGGTGGGTTGGGGGCGATGGTTTCGGCCAGAAACGGCGGACGAACAATGGAAGGGGCTGATCGAACAGGCGGGCGCGCCAATTGGGGATTCGAGGCTGCTTGAATAACGCGCGCCTGCCTCGGAGGATGCCGTCGTGAGGCGCGCTGACGGCGGACGCCAAGCCAAAGGTGGCGGGCAGCTTTCTGCACTCGGGGAAGCTGCAGAAGCCCAGTTTCTAATGAAAGGCTCCCCTTGGGAAGGCTCTTTCGCCCGCATCTTTCTGAACAGCAAACTTGGTGGCAAGGGCCAGTGATGAAGAGGGGCCCCACCATGAGATACCCAGAGAAAATCGGCCGGAGGGCTTTGTTTTAAAAATACAGGTAGTCCTTGATTTACAACAGTTCGTTTAGTGACTGAAGTTACAACGTCACTGAAAAAAAAAGCAACTTACATGTAACCGTGATGTAGCAGCACCATGGTCACTTGCCCAAAATTTGAATGTTTGGCAACTGGTTCATATTTATGGCGGTTGCATGTCCCCGGATCATGTGAACATCTTTTGTGATCTTTTGACAATGGGAAAGCCAGATTCATTTAACAACTGGGTTATTAACTTAACAACTGCAGTGATTCCCTTAATAAAGGTGACAAGAACAGTCATAAAAGTGGGGTAAAACCCACTTAACAAATGTCTCACTGAGCAACATAAATTTTGAGCTCAATTATGCTCATAAGTTGAGGACTACCTGTATTAACAGTGGATCAGAGCCATGGTGACGCAGTGGTTAGCATGCAGGCTACTTCTGCTGACTGCTGATTGCCATAAGTCTAGGTACTATTATATAAATATATAAGTCTAAGTGCTATTGCTATTTCTATCAACATATTTTTCTCATGTGGATGGCTGGACACAGTTATCTTCCTTCTCTGAAAGGAGGCTCCAACTTGGAAAATGAACCAACATTTAAAGTCTGTTAATCATGGGCTCAGATCTGACTCTTGCCTCCCCATGGAAGGTACTTGTAGGACAGTAAAGAGGCACAGAACGATACAGTGCTTGAAAAAGCGGGAGGTTGTAGGTTGTGACTTTGCAGCCTTTACATCTATTCCTCCGGTTCTATTGGGCAGAACCAAAATGAAAGAAAATTGCCATCTGGTAAATAAATCTCATGACCCATTTCTGCCATGTCTGGGCACAAATTGTCAGTTTCTTTCACAGACAGTTGCCATCCAGATATATGCTTTGAATGTCTGAATTAGTGATTACAAAAAGTCTTCTAACTATCAAGCTAAAATCTTATCAAGGTACGTGTTTCCAGATTAAAAACCTGGTCTGTTCAAGAAGATGATGGGATTCAGCATAACGCTCATGACGATCTGTTTCCTTAAAGAAGCTCGTGATATGTTGGCTAGAATGACACTTAACTCACAATGACAACGTTCATACTTTACAATATGCTACAGAATGGTTTCCCCTGGTTTGGGGGACACTGATATGGATTGGCAAAATTTCTGAATTGCCTGGAGTCAGTTCTATGTATCATTAATTCACCTAGTTCCCTTTGATTGACATTGACAGAAACCCTGCTTTAAAATGAGCATGCCAAGTTTTGGATCAGCCATACTGATCCTCTGGATGGAAAATGGAACATTCTGTAAGCAAAATATGCATAGTTGATCAGAGGAAAAAATACCTGTGCTGTAACATATTGCTGTTCATTCCTGCTAACATTATGGGCGGCATCTTTGCTGGCTTAGACCATGTCTCCATTTCTATTTAACCACAGGGCGATCATTCCTCAACCATTGCATTGAAAATACGATCATTTGCTATCAGAATAATGTCATTAGCCCAACAATAAGTTATTAATGTTACTTACTCATGCTGCTTGCATGAGTTAGAGGCCTGTTTTTTTTTTTGAGTGAGCAATTTCAGCCGATATGAGTGAAGGAGAAATGTTCAGGCTTGTGGCCATTCTTTGGGGAGGGGTATCATTCATTATTTTCTCCCCCATGTTCTTTAACATCTACTTGCCATTACTGGGGAAAGGAAATGAATCCCTGCAGATTTTACTCCACTAGTCATTGCTGTGACGCTCATGTCCGATTCAAGGCCAGGAGCCAGTGTTGTCCAAAGATGTTTCCGCAGTTATGTGGCTAACATGATGTTGTGGAGCGCTGTTTTATCCTCACTAAGTGGTACCTATTTACTCACATTTGCATGGTTTCGAACTGCTAGGTGGGCAGGAGCTAGGTGAAGATGGGCACTCACTCTTATGCAATGCTCGGGGTGTGTGTGTTTGTGTCTCAAACCTAGGCTGCTGGCTTTCCAGCCGACAAGCCCAGCAGCTTAACTGCTGACCCACTGTGTTGGGAGGTAGTCAGTATGTAGAGGTAACTGTGCATAGATAGATTCCTTCAGCTGGAGTTGCAGTAGACATTCTGTCTTGGTGTCTGGAGTTTGTCAGGATCTAGATGAGCTGGAAAAAATATATATCCAGGAAGCATAATTTCAGCAAAACAAGCTTGCTGTGTGAGTTAGAAGACTTTGGATCCTCTGCCGGCTCCTTCAGTAGTTCTGGATGAATTGCTATACTTTTGAAGGAGAAGGTCTGCATCTTAGAGGATCCTCCTGGATGGACAACAACTGCTAGAAGAGTAGTGGAATCTGTGACCGGATGGATCTTGCCCACCTATGGGTGGTGCAAGAGTGGCAGCCTTTAGCTGTAGTAATTTATGGCTTGTAGATGACTTAGAAATTTCAGCCTGCCTATCGTTAGATGAAAGTGGTTTTAGTAATATAACAATAATGTTGCAGGCACTGCATTGACTATAGGCCTGATTCAAGGTGTGGGTTATTGCCTATAGCGTATTACTCCATGTAGCTGAAAGACTACCCTTTCTGTCATCTATAAGGGCAAGCACAAGTGAAGCACATTGTAGCAATGCTGCCAGGAAGTAAGGAGGATATGAATTACTTCTGCTAAGGGCTGCCACTCCTGACTCAAAAATGGGGTGGATAGCTCTTTAATTCAGTATACTGGGGGAAAGGCCCTTATTCTGCCTGGTAGGTTTTTCAGCCAAGGTGTCCTTCAGACCTTTAGGGAACTAAGGGGTAAAGTTGTGTACACTCATTGTGTATGACTCATTGCTATCCCATATCCCATTATTTTTTTCTCTCTCTAATCTATAAATTGATCAGCCATAAAACAGAAGCACTGTACAAATATCAGTAATGCAAAATATAGGAACAAGTCAAAGTAGACTTATTCCTATATTTTGTATGACTGCTGTTTGTATAGTGCTTCTGCTTTAAAACTGATCAACTTATTCTTTCTCTTCTTAAAGGTGGATTCAGCTTCTTTAAATTGTACTTTTGAGAAGTTGATTGCTGCCTCATAATCTAACAAATGTAATTTGAGGGAGGCCAAGGACAACTGGAAGACAGCCAGGCAGACCGTGAGTGGTATCAGTTGAACAAACAGAGGCTTGATAGTCTGGATTTATCAAGTTGCTAACTCTATCAAATGATTGTCTTAATTTAACCTTTGCCACTCAGACAGTCTCTAGATGAGACTGCAACCTCTACAATGTCTGTATCTTAGGAAAGTTGGCTTAAGTCACTGTTTCTTAAAGTGTGTTCTCCTGGGGTTCCCCCATGTCTCTCCCTCTCTCTCTCTCTCCCTCTCTCTCAAAGGTCCACAAAACTGAAGTTATCTGCCATGTATGGAAGAGTGACTGTGTGAGAGTTCGGTGGCTATATAAATTAGTTTAATAAAAATGGAAAACATTGACACTCTTTTCATTCTTGTTTTTGTTAACAATATAGGGTGGGCTCATGAAAAAATATTTTATTTATATTGGTATCTAATAGGTTTAACATTATTTTTACATGATTCAACCAATAAATATTCTGCGGCTTGATCAACTTTGATGCGTAGTTTGGCAAATATTGATAAAAACCATCTATTCAAACAAATGCTCTTTTGAGGTCCTCCATAATTTTTAAAATAGGAGGGGATCCTGACAGAAGAAGCTTAAGACATACTGGTATATGTTAGAGGGAAGTTTCAAGTAAGCAACACATCCGGAGGTGACACAGCAGCTTATGCCTGCTGATTTCATGGCTGCTTTTATTTTTCTTTTAATGGTCTTCCAACTTCTCTCCTTTCCCTTTTTTACTACTGTAGGCCTTCAGGGTCCCATCCGCGTGGATTGCATCTGTAAAACGCTGCATTCAACTGGCAGGTATGAAATCAGGCTGTATAAAAGCTTTTATATCAGTGATAATTTAGGCAGACTCTTTGCTTCTGAGACTTTTGAAAAAAACCTTGTGCTATTCTCTGTGGTCAGAATTGTACTGGGCAAGTTCTTTTAGATTGGATGTTGTTGCCCTGGTTAATAGGCCCTTGAAGTCATAGGGCCTACACAGTCTCTTTATCTCAGCCTCAAGGACAAATTCCAGGGATACTGATGCTTCCCCTTTAATTTTATCTTGAGTGGCTGACAGTAGCCACAGAACAGCCTTGTTTGTGAGATTATCACGCAGAGATCTTGTCTTAGCTTTTTAAAAACTGAAAAATGCTGCACAGAATATTTTTTGAGAGAACACAGCCTCTTTCTTCCTCCCCTCAATGGTGGAGGTGACTTTTGTTGCTAGAGCCTAACCTTCCGGGCAGGTATAAACCAGGGGTATCAAACTCGTCACAGCAGCATCATGTGACATATCACGACTTCCCCCCCTTCGCTAAACCAGGCATGGGTGTGGCCAGTGCGTGTGGTATCCGGCCTGCAGGTCGTGAGTTTGACAGCCCTGGTATAAATTACCTGGTCCCAGGGGAAGCTGAAATCTGACCATGTCTCTGCACTGTCCTGAGTGAGCCCAACCAGAGCAACGCAATTCAGTGGTGATCAACAGAGAGACATTTGGCCTTGTTTGTTGAGTAATACCTTCAAGCCTTCATAAGCTTTCAGTTATTCAATTAAATAATTTCCCCATACATGAAGACTTGGCATTGCTTCGCTTATCACTATATATTTTTTTGATGTTGGAGCTATACTATCTTTCCCCTGCTTGACTCTTGGTCCATTCACTTGTCTGACTCTTTGACATACAACTGAGCACCACTAGGTTGGCCAACCTGACTTTTGTCATGATTGTTGGAAACATTAGGTGGACCAGGCCAGGAAACTGACTCCAGAGGAAGGCTAAAACCATTTGTATTGAATTTTGCTGCAATAATAGAAACTTACACATCTGATTGGGCAATTCCTCCTCCTCCTTATACTCCAATGAATTAGAGAGGGTGCAGTATGTTCTCAAAGGAGTTCTAATCCAAGAGATTGTAATACCTGGCATATAATTGGTGCTCATGGGTAAAAGACTTAATTGGCTGATAGTTTGCAACCTTTTTTTAATCACCTTTTCTACATTTTGGGGGAAGGATAGAGACAAGGTAATCTTCGGGAAAATGCAGGGAATTATTTATGGCTATAAAAAGAGGGGCTAGCCCAGCAGCACAACATGCTGAATTTCGTGTTTTTGGTGAATCTCAGTTTTTGTCAGGAGTTTTGAAGTTTGTCAATTGAGAAATAAATTTGGGGGCTTTGGAAGGTGAAAGTGGGGGTTTCTGGAAAAGATTAATTAAGAAGCTCAACATGAGCTCACATGCACATCAGGAAAACTAACTATCAAGCCTTTTAGTTTATTTATTTGATTTTTTTAACCTGCTGTAATTCAGAGATTTAAGAGGGGGTGAATTTTCTGGAGTTGCTGGATTCTGACTTCTGTAGTGAATTTGTCCTGGGGTTTTGGGGCAGGTTTGGCTGACTGTTAGAATGTAAATTAGCAGGCTATAAATCTGCCATAGCCAGAGATAAGTGAGCTCAGGCTGTTTCACAGTTAGTAGAGAATAAGCAGCCTGTGGAAAAGTCTTTTCCTAGGCCTTGAGCAGGGGAGTCCAACTCTGGCAATTTTTAATACCTGTGGACTTCAATTCCCAGAATTCCCTAGCCAGCCATTCTGTCTGGGGAATTCTGGGAGTTAAAGTCCACAAGTCTTAAAGTTGCCAAAGTTGGACACCCCTGGCCTTGAGGCTAGCCTATGTTCATGGCCAAACAGGGCAAGCATGGATTGAAACCAATAAACAGTCAACCAGATGACAAATCCAGAGGGGAGGTAAGAGGCAAAGTGAAGCAAAATCCAGGGTCCAAAACACTTGGGGTCACATCTGAATTTAGAAAATACGTTTTGAGCACTTTTCCCCAGAAGGGTATATGATAAATTAAGCCAGACTGAGCTTCTGTCAAGTGCACAATTGAGACACGTCATAAAGGCACTGCAGAATTTGCTCTTCTCTTAATGCTCCCCTCTCTTTCCATTAGCCTCTGAGATTGATGAAGTTCAGCTCTCTGCTCCTGAATCATCTTTAGGTGCTTCTACCTAGGACTAGGGGAACCTAACCTCTGAGAGACTGTCAGAGGATGTGGCCAGGGGGGTCTGAGAACTTGCTGGGTTTTTTCCAAGCAATAGTGAAGTTAGTGGTGTCCGAAATATTGGAATCTCCAATAGTAGGACTGCTGGGTGTCTCTGGCCCCAGTTCTTTCCCATCCTCCCTGCTTCTTCCCCATCCTCACCAAGGACGTGTCCTCCAAAAAGGCCATGTATGATCTGGCTAACAGAGACCCTCTCCCCTTTGTTCCATAGAGATATTCACCCACAAAATGCCTGACAATGCCTTCTGAAGGCAGCAGTCACACAACTTTGAGACCTGTTTTATAAATGCGGCTTTAGCATATTTCTGAAAGAACACTAAACTTGTGTTTTACAATAGTCTGATTGACAGGTCTCTGGCATGTCTGCACTGACTGGGAACAGAGGCAACCCAGGTAGAAAGAGATCCCAATCAGGACAATAACATGTTGATATAATTCTCTGCCAACTCAAGGAGGGGTGGATATAGCATTTCAAGTTGGCAGCGGGGAAGGTAGAAATTAGACAGGAATAAGCTTTTTCAATCTCCTTCTTTGGTATATGAAACAGAATAAGAAGAAACGAACACTTGATGTTCACCGTCATTTATGTCCTGGCTTGAAAATTATAATATTCTGTTAAGCTTGTGCTGGATCAGATCTTGAGTATGTTTGTGACAGAGAGATAGAGCCAGCCAGCATTCTGAGAGAAAATATGTAAGATGGGAAATGATTAAAGAAGAAAAATCTAATAATAGAAACCGTTGATGGCAAAGCAATGTAAGACAGTATTTTATAACACAACACTTTGGTTTTTTACTACTTAACTTTTGGAGACATGCTGTTTGAAGGTTTGTCAAGCCAGGAGAATGTCAACATTTCTTTATGTTCCTGAGCATTTCTAAGATTTTTTTAAAAAAATCTTGGGAATGGAAGTTCAAACACCTATGCTAACTAACACATGTGCCTTCTCTTCCAAAACCAATCCTAAATTCCTGTGTGGCCTTAGGCCATTTTCACAGGTCTTTGTTGTTCCTGATATCGATGGCCCTTGGCTACTTTTGTCATAGTACATGGTTGATCTTTGCCTTTCAGGTTGGGTGAGCTACCTCGAATGTGTCTCCTGCAAACATCGCCTCCAAACAACTCCTTTGCTTTCTAGCAGAGCAGGAGTACACACACTGTGCTTTCTCTTTGCTTTGGCACACAGACAACTTTGCCACTGGCCTGTAGTCTTCAGGCAGCCGAGGAATTCCAAACTAAATGAGCATGTTGTAATCAGGAGAGAAAATATTGTGTCCTTGCAGTGTTGATGTTGATGTTGATTTCAGCTCAGACCCTTCAGCCACAGACAGTGCCTATTTCTTTAACGAAAATATGCCTATGCCGGTAAGCTTGGCTGGCTATGCCCTGGATAGATACTTCAGCAGCTTCCATCTTAAGGTCCCGTTTGACAGTGGGCTGTTGATGAGCTGGGTTAGACCAGGTGAGTAGCCCTGACAATCAGCACACAGTTTACATCCTGGGCTCGGAGGGCGGCCAAGCAGGACTGCTGGCCATGAGGCTCTCCTGAGCTTTTGTGAAAGCCAGAGGCTGACAAGGTTCTGGCAGGGAGAGACCTTTGAAAGAGGCCATGCTATTGAGCGCAGATCTTCCCACCCCAGACATATTTGAGAAACCACATAGGCAAAATGAACCAAGGAGGCCATTGGCAAATATATACCTGTATGACCAGCAGAAAGAACTTTTGGAAGGGAACAAACTGACATTCAGAAGCACCACTGGTGAAAGATAACTAGAGATCTTGCACTGCAAAGATTGAAAGACTCACTCACGCCTTCTTTCCCAGCCTCTGTAGACAAGAAGGTATAGTCAACAGGCATGAGGTGACCAGGGCTAAGCAGATAAACCATCCATTTGCTACAAGGCAAATATTAAAAAGGGATAATATTTTATCTCACCACAGGCTGCTTGTTCAAATGGCCAAATATTCATTAACCTCTTTTATTAGAGAAAAAAACCCACAATATTTATGATCAACTGGAAACCTTTTGTAAACTTTTTGCATGAAACAGGAAAAAAATGCACTGGTGGTTTTGGTGATCAGGAAAAAAAAAAAAAAAAGGATAATACCGGTA